TGAGGAAAAGCTGTCCCCTCAAGGTAGAGCTCAGCACAACGATGGGAACGGAAGAAACCTTTGGAACATTCTTTTGTTGATGGGGCGCACCTCAGAAGAAGAAACAGCTGCAAACACCTATGAATAATCAGATTTCATATGCAAAGTAAGAAGCTAGGAAAATTGAAAGTCATCAAAAATTAAATGGTATGCATAAAGATCGACAACCTAGGTATTAGTGAGTTACAATGGACTGGAATTTCCCATTTTGAGTCAGACAATCATAAGGTTTGCTATACCAGGACTGACAAATTCAAGAGAAAGGTATCACATTCACTGTCAAAAGAACATTTCAAGACCTATCTTGAAGTATAATGCTGTCTGTAATTGGATAAAATCTGTACCAGGAAATCCAGTTCACAAAACTATTATTCAAAATTTACCCACCAACCTCTAAAAGCTAGTGATAAACAAATTTAAGAATTTAAACAAACAACTCCTTCAGTTAGAAATTGATCAAGCCGGCAATCAAGATGCACTGATAATTCTTGCTGATTGGAAACCAAAAGTTGGAGACAAAGAAGAAGGAAGTAGTTGGAGAATATGGCCTAAGATATATAAACAAAGCTGGTGATCATGTGGTAGAATTTTTGCAAGACCAACGACTCATTCATTGCAAAAACCTTTTTTGAGCAATATAAACAGTGATTATACACATGAAGTTCACCAGGAAGAATACCCAGGAATCAGACTGACTACATCTGTAGTAAGACGGTGGAGAGGCTCAATAGCATCCAAAACGAGGCCAGCGGCTGAATGTGAACAGACCATCACTTGCTCATGTGTATGTTCAGGGTGAAGATGAAGAAACTCAAAATAAGTCCACAAGAGCCAAAATATGACTTGAGTCTATTCCACCTGCATTTCAAGAACAGCTCAAGAATAGATTTGATTCACTGAACACTAATGACAAGCTTTGAGCTGACAACAAGAATAACATGCTTTGAAGAAAGCAAACCATCATTAGAAAGGCAAGAAATAAAGAAAAGATCAAAATGGATATCAAAAGAGATGCCGAAACTTGCTCTTATTCACATAGTAGCTAAAGTACACGTAAGAGTTAAACACAAAATTTCAAAGGGCAGTCTGACAAGACAAAGTGAAATATTAGAATAAAATATGCACACACCTAGAGTTAGAAAGCTAAAAAGGAAGAACATACTCAGCATATATCAAACTGAAAGAAAAAAAATCATGCCTCAAGTTTTTTGGGGTTTTTTTTCCCCTCAAGTTTTAATAGTGAAAGATTCTATGGGCAAACTGTTGAACAATCCAAGAAGCATCAAAAGATAAAAAGAATACACAGTCACTATGTCAAAAAGAACTAGCCAACATTCACCCATTTCAAGAGATATGAAATAAAACCAAAAATACTAAAAGAATAAGTCCAAGCTGCACTGAAGGCATTACCAAAAATCGGGCTCCAGGAATTGATGGAATACCAATTTAAATGTCTCACCATTTGATGAAGCACTGGAAGCACTTATTCATCTACGCCAAGAAATTTGGAAGACAGCTACCTGGCCAACAAACCAGAAGAGATCCATATTTGTACCCATTCCAAAGAAAGGTGACCCAGCAGAATGCTCACATTACAGAATATCATTAATACCACAAGTAAGTAAATTTCGCTGAAGATCACTCAGTAACATTTGCAGCAGTACACTGACAGGTAGCTGCAAGAAGCCCATGAAGCCAGATGCACAAGAGGCCGTGTAACAAGGACTATCACTACTAAGGTCAACAGATCTTGGCTTAAAGCAGAGAACACCAGAAAGATGTTTACTTGTATTTTATTGACTATGGAAAGTCAAAGGCATTTGACTGTGTGGACCATAAGAAACTGTGTTTGGCCTTGAGAAGAATGGGAATTCCAGAACACTCCACTGTGCTCCTGCAGAATCTGTACATGAATCAAGAGGTAGTTCTAGCAGAACAAGGGAATGTCACATGGTTTAAAACCAGGAAAGGTGAGTATCCGGGTTGTATCCTCTCACCAGACTTATTCAATCTACATGCTGAGCAAATTATCAAAGAAGCTGGACTGTAGGAAAAAGAACTTGGTATCAAGATTGGAGGAAGACTCACTAACAAGCTGAGATATACAGATGACACATCTTGTTTGCTGAAAGTGAGGGGAACTTCAACCACTTGCTGATGAAAATCAACGAATGCTGCCTTCAGTATGTATGACAGCTCAATGTAAAGAAATTTTGGTAACATTATGAAAAGTGGAGAAATTATTGAAAGAGTCAAATATTTCATCTTGATTGGATCCATATGCTCATGGAAGCAAAGCAAACAATACATTGCTTTGGGTAAATCTGCTGCGCAAGACCTCTGTAAAGCATCGAAAAGCAAGGATGTCACTTTGAAGACGAAGGTATGCCTGACCAAAACCACATTTTCAATTGCCTCATATGTACATGAAAGTTGGGCAATGAAAAAGAAGACTAAAGAAGAACTGATGCACTTGAATTACAGTATTGTTGAACAATAATGAAAGTACCATGAACTGCCAAAAACACAAATGTTTTTTTGAGTAAGGACAGGCAGAATGCTCTTTAGAAGCCAGGATAATGAGACTTTGTCTCATGTCCTTTGGACATGTTATCAGGAGGGACCAGTCCCATCTCATCAAGAACAGATCCATCCCATTGTACTCCCTCAATGCAAGAATACTTTGTTCTGTTAAACTGGCATCCCATGATGCTCACCTTCCCAACAGGATCACTGAAGACAAAGCGGGTGCATAAGCAAATGTGGTGAAGAAAGCTGATGGACCCCGGCTATCAGAAGATATAGCATCTAGGGTCTTAAAGACTTGAAGGTAAACAAGTGGCCATCTAGCTCAGAAG